GCTGTCAACTATATTATGTGCTTCAGGCACCACATATAAATTTAATATTGTAGCTATCAACAATATAAGTCAGTGGTATGCATCTTATCAAATATACAAGCAAACATAAATATTTTCAGAATACTTGTGTATAGATTCAATCTATGTAACATTCTGGTTACATAACTTCATTAAGAGTATATTGAATATGCAGAGCTGATCTAAAATCAAAAGATCATGAATTTATTCAAAAATCAACGAGATTATTTACTAGATCAATCTTTTAAAGATACTCACTAGATAATTCTTATGCAATTATGATACTGGTCAACAGGGCCAATCCTTCAAGGATAACCAAATCTAGGTCGATATTTAAATTCACTAGCGATATTTTTAATTATATTATCCTTCAGGGAAACTCAAATCTATAGACATAAAATTCAACAGGATATTTGCTCTGCAATTCATGACAAAATGATAAAATAACTACATGTATACCATTCATTGGGTTCATTAGTCAGTTAGACTAAAGTTCAAGATACTCAAATTGATATAGGCTCAGCACGTCCATACTTAATGCATAAAACAACATAACAAAATATGCAACTATAATTTTCAAACTAAATTCATGTCGTAATAGCTTATTTTGATAGCTTCACCATATATGTTCCAAACAACATACACAATTCACATTTTTAAAATTATTCCACATGTGTTTCATGCGTATTCAGATCCATGGACGAATAATAAAATATGTGGGTATTTTTATTTTTTAACTCTTCAGGAGTATAACAATTGAAGCATGAGATTTCGCTACATAAGTTATTAATATTTTCCTCCATCATAAAAAATAATCATTATCTAGAGGATAATGTCTACTGGACATATCTTACGTGTCTTACCACTTTCAAATCCTAATAAGTAATGTAAAGAATGATATGATTCATATCAAACAAGAGATGCTCATATACAAATAAGGACAATTAAATCAAGAAAATATACAGTCTTATAGAAGATAGATAATATTTTATCATATATCTCACATAAAAAAATTATACTTTTGTATATGTGCTTCTGGCACTAATACAATCTCAATAAACTACTTTTATATCACTCTTCGTAATTGTGTCCATGAGTATTGATTTGGTTGGATTTCATTATTCCCATGTATTACTTTAGGAATACAAATAATTCATAACATATCATAAAATATTTGATCGCATCTTAATTCAAAATTAGTCATCTAGACTTACTCAGAGTGTAATTATTCTTTTATTTCGATACTTGTATAAGTGTTGATCCTTCAGGGAGTATACCAAACTTTATTGCTAACCTATAAAAGATCCTTCAGGGAGCGTATAAGAACTTTATTGTCAACTTACAATCTATTGATAAATAAAATATTGATTGACATCTTATTGACAAACGAGCATTATTTTAATCGTTCTATCCATCAATGTTTAATATTAGTGTCCTTCTGGGACTTCTAGTATTCAGTTGAATCTTATACATCGGGATAGATGAATATTCTTTAAATAATATCTCACCATTTTCATAATTGCACAATTCTATCTTCTCATCCAACCATATTATAAAGATAATCATAAATTGAACTATGTAACATCAATAAAATATATCCAATATTAATTTACAATATATTTTGTTTTTTGGTATATGATCTTTCTCTCATATACAATAGACATACTTATAATATCACATGAATTTTTATAGCACTAAAAACATTAAACATAAATACTTTAAAATTTTTAAATCATGTCAGTGAAACTATAGATTATATAATCCATCCTTTAGTGCATAATTTTTAAACAAACATATAATAGTTCAACAATGACCAAATTTCACATACATCTATGCATCTCATCCAAGATCATATACACAATTTTTCAAGTCCATATATGCTCAATATATAACCAAAACAAATTTTATAACTCAAATCACAAAATCTGTCATCTTTCAGATTTTTATATACATACTAGATTTATAAATTTATATTTGTGATGTCAAATAAATCTAAAAAATTTACTGGGACTTGAAAACCAAACACATCATGTTATATCAAAATATCAAAGCAATAATTATTTATTCACAACACATGCTCTGATACCATCAGAGACCAATAATTTTAATTCTGCCCGTATTGCAGTTTGAACAAAGCATAAATCAATCATCCGTAGCAAATTGATGCAACATAGACATGAGGTGTCTTATCATTGATGATCATGGCAATATTTAAAAAAAAAAACACACAAATTAATTTATTCCAAGCTCATGCAAATACAATTGGGAGAGAAAATAATTCCACAACAATTAACATGACCAATTGATGCGAAAGTTAATGAATTTGCAAAGTCACCATATGGGCCATAACAGATACATCAAGATAAATAATCCATATGGGGATTGAATTTTATCAAATCGAATTCAGCAAAAGAAAATCGAGTCACTGATATACTCGCAAGGCACCGTTACAAAAACCACATACTCATCATTATCATCCAACAATAAACATAATGTAATTAGGCCATTGGTGTCGAGTAGATCAAACACAATATTAATTAGATTTATTCAATATCGTAAATACACATTAAATTATTTATTCACATAACTCATACAAAAATCAATCTTTCTACTTTTGTAGCATTCATATTTCTCGGCTTATTATTAACCATTTGTTCTGATGTGCCACCACACTATCTGCACAATTTTTCTTTTTTTTTTTCAAATTTATTCACAGCATTTGTTAATCTACGGGTTTGGACTTTGAAAGAACAAATAAATCTTTCAGAACCATACACAAACTTATGTCCATATAACAATCGGATCGTTGAACAATCTAAACAGCAGATTAACTGACGTTTAGAGATAAATAAATATAACTAAAATTGATAAAACTAATAGATCATTATTGATATTGAATAGATCTTGAATGTTACCTTGACAGAAAAGATAAGATTCTTTTCTAGGGCATACATCAATTGTTGATTGTTACCTTGATTGTCCGTTCGTCTTGATGTCGCCGTTGTTCGCTTAGATGGTAGAGTAATCGTGCTGATAACGTGTTGTAATATAGATTGTCAATATGTGAGATAGACAAGATAGACAAAGAGAGAAAGTAGTAAAAGAGAAAAAGAGAGAAGAGATACGCCGTCAAAACTCTCATCTTATTCATTCACTTGAGCCCTACATATAAGGGAATACAATGTACATGACTAAAGACCTAATGGGCTCCTGGCCCATACCTACAAATCCTATATCTAGGTAATGTCCATAAATTAATATTTACAACACTTGGAACAAAATTACGATAGAAAAAATAACCAATTTTTTCCAATGATTTTAGGGATCAAAGTGGTACGAAAAAATTGAATATTGTTTAAAAAAAAAAAATGTGTCGATGGTAAAATTGATGGGAAAACTAGGAAAAAAAATGGGGTGAAAACTTGATTATTTTCTAGTTTGTAAATATGCATAAAGTAAAATATAATGATTAAAACTCATGTAATATAAAGGTTATAAAATAGTAATTATGAATAATTGATTATCTTAAAAGGAATGTGAGGGGTTGGATGTCTAGTTTTGTTAAAAAATGTTTAGCAATGATTTATTCAAATTTTAAAAATTGTGTTCATAAAATAAAATTGAGGGAAAAAGGTAGGAATAGACGAGTATTAATTTCAATGAAAAAAAATATGAAATATCACAACATCCTCCCTATATATAATTCCCGTATGCGTTGAGCCTACGTGGCTGTTTCTGGTGCTTCGTAATCCTATTTGGCCAAGAATCATGCTTCGTAATTAGGTTTGGATAAATAATATTGATATATTAATAATTAATAATCTAGGTTCGGGTATTCCATAAATATTATTTAGCTAACTTAGGTATTTTAATATCACTTTTACTAATATAACCCTTTAATTCTTTGTAATTTTACATAGTGAAACACTAAGGGCTTGATTGTTTATGAGTTAATTTACTCACTTTTATTTCAACTCAAAATTTAACTCAACTTTAACTCAATTCCACTATCTTTAATATTATTCATATAATTAAATAATACAAACCAATCATTCTTCCACATCACATCAACTTTAATTCACTATTCATCCACTCACATAATTTTAACTACCTATCATTTCCAATCATTTATCTCTTACTTTTACATCAAATCAATTTTAATCATTTTATTTTAAATATTATTTTAATACATTTTTAAAATTCCACTAACAACTAATCATACCACCTTTTTCAAATTAACTATGGTTAACCAAAATAACTCATTTTGAACAAATTATTTCATAAACAATCAAGCCCTAAGTGACTAATATATCCCTGAATTTTGATTTATTTTCTTCAATAAGCTATTGAATTATAAATGTATTTTAAAAGTTGATAACTTTTGTATTTCTTATCGGTTTTACATATATAATATATCAAATTATTCATCTTTTGATGATCTTCGATTTGACATCCATATTGTATATATGAAATAAATAAATTAATTTATTTTTATAATAATAAAAAATAATAATATTTATTAAAATTCATTAGAAAAATAAAATTATTTCTCAATTGATATATTTATATGTAATGTAGTTATATATTGTAAGTTAAAAAAAATTAGTATAATATAACACAAGTAAGTTGCACAAATAAAAAGTGTCATAATAAATATATAATAATATATATATTCTTATAAAAAGTATTTAAATTTTCTCATTAATTTTAGATTTGAAGAAAAAAAATTAGCAAGCACCCGTGTAATACACGGGTGTTGTACTAGTAGGAAATAAATATGATTTAATATACTTTTTTCGAGAGAAACGACTTCTTCCTTTTCCTATTAGACATAGGAACTACGAACTTATTCCTTTTCATCCTTTTTCCTATTTGGAATAGTATTAATTATTGTTATTATCGTTCTATAAATACGAAACAACAGGCAACACATACACAACACACAATCAATCCTAATATTAAGTTCATCAACAAGAAGATCGATGGGCATGATGAGGAACAGCTTATTGCTATTGCTGCTGACGTTGGCCGTGCTCGTCTCTGTATCGCACGCTGAGACAGGCAAGCCGTGCTCCGACTACACGTTTGGCAACAGCAAAGAGAGGTATGCAGCTTGCAGCAGCCTTCCCGTGCTCGACTCCTTCCTCCACTGGACGTACCACCCGTCCACCCACACTGTCGACCTGGCCTTCCGCCGCACGGGGGCCGCAGCTTCCGAATGGGTCGCGTGGGCCCTTAACCCAACCGGGACGGGCATGATCGGGGCCCAGTGCCTCATCGCCTACGTCGACCCCTCGTCCGGCGCACCCCGTGCCCACACCTCTGCCATCGCCTCCTACCGCACGGCCCTCCAGCCAGGCAACCTCAGCTTCGCGGTCCCGTCCCTTAGGGCCGAGTTTGGGAATAAGGAGATGATCATACGCGCCACCATAAAGCTGCCACAGGGGAGGACCAGCTTCCCCCAGGCGTGGCAGTTCGGCCCTGTTACCTCCTCCGGCCAGCTCCGGCAGCATGGCGCTGCCCCGGGAAACCTTGGTGCCACCGCTACCATCGACTTCTCCACGGGGACCAGCACACCCACTTCAAGGCGTTCTTCATCTAAAAACGTAAGGGAATACAATTTTGAAATACATTAAATTTATTTATTTGTAATTAATTAATTAATTTGTTTGTTTACTTTAGATTCACGGCGCGCTGAATGTTGTGAGCTGGGGAATAATGATGCCTGTGGGTGCCATGGCAGCAAGGTACCTAAAGGTGTTCAACGTGGCCAACCCAGCGTGGTTTTACGTGCACGTCACCTGCCAAGCCTCCGCCTACATAGTCGGTGTTGCTGGATGGGTCACGGGTCTCATACTCGGCACCCGCTCCCCTGGAGTCCAGCACACGCCCCACAGATACATGGGCATCGCGCTATTTGTCCTAGCCACCCTCCAAGCCCTGTCCATCCGCCTCAGGCCCAAGCCCGACCACAAGTACAGAATCTACTGGAATGCCTACCACCACATCACAGGCTACATCGTCATTCTTCTTAGCATCGGCAACATTATCGTGGGTCTCGAAATCTTGGATCCTGGGAAGAAATGGAAACGAGCCTACTATGTCATGCTCATAGCCCTTGTAGCCATTGCCACTCTCTTGGAAGCACTCAGTAGTTTTGTTGTCGCCAAGAGAAAGAGAAACCAGCAGCAGAATTCAGTCGATGTCGATGGATGTAGTGCCTAGATCATTCATACATGCTTATTGTTTATCATTTGTATTCATTCACTCATTAAATCATGAGACGGGTTGTAATAGTTAAATATGTTCTTGTTAGTTTACATTACGATGACTAGTAGTATTTCTATACTCGTCGTCTTCATTTTTTGGCTTGGGCGCTCCTAACCGATGATTCGTTGAACAAAGCTTAGAAGGAGAACAAGTACTCAATTACCCACATAATTTAGATCACAATAAGCTCAAGGATATATCTTTTCTCACAATCCAAGCCAAGTCAAAGTTCCCTCTTTCCCAATTCAAATGAGTGCTGCCTCATGCATAAAACAAATACTATTTCAAGCTTATCAACACCATTAATAACCAACAAGACAGGATAATTCACAAAACAATTATCACCACATAGGCACCACAACAGTAACAACATTATGCAATTAAAAGAAAAGGCTAAGGTAGTGAGCTATTTCGAGGGTACGTACCAGAAGCCAAGACGAGCGGGAGTAGAGGCGCGCGACCCGGTCCCGCTGCTCTGCGTACCGGCGCCTGAGGTAGGACTCCAGGATTTCCATAATGCGCGTGAATTTCCTCGTCGCGTCGAGGCGGCAGGCTCAGCTCAGCTTCCCTCGCCCTGGCTCGGTCAAGCCGCGCCTCCGTCTCGGCCAGCCTGTCCGTCAGATTCTCCACGGCGTACGTGGGGTTCCGACGATTTTGTCATTCGACGGCAGCAGCTCACACGGCCGAAGCACATGGACATGGTACCATTGCTTGCTGGCTTCTCTAATTGTACCTTTAGATTTTTTTTTTTCCCGATTAATCAGATTAAATTATTTGACTCATTGTCGCGTGTGAGGTTGCTGCGCCCTCGCCTCCGCCCTGGGCTAGTGGGACGCCTTGTTTCGCCAGGGTATTAGGCGCGATTGATAGTCCTGGAATTGTTTTTGAAATTCTCGGCATGGTTTTGGCCAAGAGTGTAGAGAAACCTTGACAAATTTTGAATTTTGGAAAAGGAGGTAAATCCATCGCGGCCGACATCACGCTAGGTCTGCCGGCGATTGGGGCTGCTCCGCGGCTGGCGTCAGCTCCGGACGTCTGATCTTCCTAGCCCGATTGAGAGATGGCTTTGCTAGGAACAAGATGAAGGTTGATGATTCAAAAATGTGTCCGAAAACTTTCTGAATCAAAGATAAACTCCAAATAATGAATTAAGCCCTCCTTCTATACATAATTTAACAACTACTATCGAAGAGATTAACCGAATTGGAAATTACAGAGTAGTTTTATTTTTATTATATTGAACTAGTAGTATCTCGTGAGATGGAGCTCATGTTTTACATTAACCTCTCTTTACACAATATAAGTAATATTATTAGACTTTAAATAATACACATATACCACATATTGCACAAAATTTGGTATACAATATGGTTAAATCACCATTTAAACATAATTTATTATATTTTTTCCAGTGGTATCCTATATACGATATATATGTTCATAATATTTCTCAACATATAAACTTAATTGTTGTATGCCGTCATTTTCTATCAACAAAGTTTTTTTATCAACAAAGGTTTATGTAAATCTATCATGTAGTTTCACTCAATGTCCAACATTTGTCAAATTACTAATCAAATTAGAAGATAAAATCTAAATATTATCCGATTCAAATAAATACCTCTACTTTTTTATAGTAATAGATTTTAAATATTTTTTGAATTCTATATTTCATTTTTTATATTTACGAAGGTAAATAATTTTAAAATTAAGATATACATTTAAATAAAAATATGTATTAAACTATAATGAATAAAAAATTATTTAAAAAATATTATAATAAGATATAAATTAATACTATTTAAATGGGCTTAATATCTTATAGTGTGGTAATTTAAAGGGGCTTGATATTATATAGAACAATATTTGTTTTAATCGGCCCAAATAACGTCATCTCATTACATTATCTTATACTAAGCCCATTTAAAACTGGAATTTTATTAGCCCAAGACTGAATTTCCATCAACCATAAAAGAAGATTTGACGGTTGATTTGAGGGTTCGTATAAAACCCAACAAAATCGGAACTATCGGGCAAGAGCTTGCTCTTATAATTTCACCGCAAATATTTTTTTCGTTCATCTTCTTTCATTTTTTTCTGGTCGAAATTTATTGTTTTTTTACTGAACCTGAAAATTAATTTCACTCTTTTTAGGTTTGTTAGATAGATTTATTGTATAAATTTTGTTCGAATACATGTATTTTATCATATCAATCTTAGGTTGTTCTTCACATTTTTTTAAACCTGCTCGAATGAAGATTAGAATTCATTTTGAATCTTTAAGTTTTTTTATCGATTTTGTATTATTGTTTAACGATTATTGTGATTCTTAAAAAAGAATCATTCGTTTCTTTGCCCGAAAACGAAATTTTGTTTATTATGTTTTAGTTTTTTTTATATGTTAGGGATTTTTACTTTTGCTTTATTGAGTTTTTAAGATTCTTCATTATTAGATATTTTTTTTGGATTTAGGAATTTTTTTGTTCGATTTGGTTGGATTTTATTGTTAAAAATCTGTTGTTCGATTTGAAATCACTCAACAAATTCGCTTTTTTAGTTTTAATTAACATATTTTTGTAAGATTTTTTTGTGCGAATTGCTTGGATTTTTTTGTTGAAAATATGTTGCATATTTGAATTTTTTTCCAAAAATTTCATGTGTAAAGCCGCGATTTTTGGGCATAGTAACAGCTCAAATGGATTGGATTTTAGTTAATGTTGTCCGTGGAAAAAAAAAAGTTGCCATAAGTAGAAAACATTTAATGAAGAAAGAGGTTTGACCAAAAATTAGTTGCTATTT